GTATCGGCTGAGCTCACCTATGTGGTCACTCAGGGCGCGCAGACCGTGGCAGACGCCTTTGTCTGTTTCGCCGTCCCTCTGCTTGCAGGACCCGAATCCAATGCAGATTCTTCCGTCTGTGGCATCACGTCGGGGTCACCATTTGACGGAGAATAAGCGGGAGACAGACACCATCCTATGATGATCGGAAAGCCTCATTTATTGAAAATTAGAAGGCATTTTTTATATTGTTCTTAATTAGTTCATACATATTTAAATTAGTTCATACATATTGCAAAAGCGAAGCTCATCATTGGTTACAGATTATATGTCAACCCCTTTTATGTTTATCTTTTGTGTTTAGTCTTGTGGTTAGCAGTTCTTTATCTTAGTGTTCCAGTTCTTTTTGCTCGTCCCATTATCCTACAATAGTTGCACCCCAGGTTATCTTGACCTGGAGTTTGTTTTACTAAACTTCAATCAGCTGCACTTTATCATGTCCCTTTGCTGTTAGCCACTCTGTGGCTAAGCTCTCCACAGGGGATGTTGATGCCCTCTCCCTCAAAGTGTTCAAAGTCTGGCTGGATGGGCCTTTGAGCAACTTGGTCTAGTGGGAGGTGTCCTTGCTCACTGCAGGGGGGTTGGAACTAGAGGATCTTTAAGGTGCCTTCCAACACAAACCATTCTGTGACTCCTTCCAGTGCCAGCTGGAAAGGCTCGTTCTGTGGGTTGTGTTCCTCCTCTCTCATCTGGCAGTCGGGGGGGAGATCTCAGCAGCTCTAGACTAGCACAGATCACGAGAGATAAATTCTTATTAATTTTTGCTTAAGAATCAATGCATAATTAATGTGGAAACTTCCTCAAGGTACTTCTCAAGTAGTGATATGCTAAAAAAAAAAGTTGTTTTAGTGAAAACTTCCAATTAAAAGCTCCTAGAGGAAAAGCAATTTTCCAGAGCTAAGATGGTGAGGAAATCTGAATTTTCCAGATTTTTTTTCTTCTCCTGTGGAAAATGAAACTTGTGTTTTACTAAAACATAGTTTACAAATTCCTGATAGTTTCATTGAAATGATTAAGGATGAATTTCTGACTAATCCAAGACATCTGGGGGTGGGGTGGGGGAGAAAAAGAGAGCAAAAACGCATAAACCCAAACAACTATGTTTTTATTTCTTTATTTAATTTGAACAGATATTTGCCATCAGGCCTTCTAAATGAAAAATAAAATTCAATCTGACAACAAGCATTCTATCTTAGGTCAAGCAAAACATTAACTCAGCATGAAAGATCTTGCCTAATTTTTTTTTGTGTTCTTTTTGGAAGCGACAGCAAGTCAAGATATTATTTGTTGCATGTATTACTGAGTGATGTGTTCAAAGCCATTGCTTTGAGAAGCCTGGAGGATCTGGACATGGAGCCTCCTGCCCAGCAGGCTCAGGAGGGATTTCCCTTTCCTGGCAGAAGCACAACGTGTCTTCTGTGGTTGACCTAGAGATGGAAAGGGTTATGAGTCTGGCAGTTTCAAAACCATCTTAGTGCAGTAACAGCTGAGCATCATGAGAATTTCTTTGTCTGTATTTCACCTATCTTGTCTAGAAGAACATTTACACAACTAGAAGTTATCTTTTTGACTGGAGAAAGATAAGAAGAAAGATAATGAACGCTAAACGCTATATTTTATGTCCAAACAGGAAGATGGCTGAGAAAAGAGCCTAGTGAGCCTGCCCTGGGGTTGTGGAAAATCTGGGAGACCATCCAGCACTGCTGGAGCTGAGCACCCAGGGCAGCCTTATGGACTCTCCCCACTTCATGCAGTTATGTTTCCTGCTTCTGACCATTGCAGCTCCCCATCCAAGTGAGTCTCCCTGACTGATCTCATTGCTTTTCACTGCATGTTAGTAGCTACAAATTTTTAAACTGTTATTAGAAAGCTCAGTTGTGTCCAGTTAAAATTAAGACCATGAAAGCACTAAGGTGAGAAAAGGAGTTAAGAAGGTGAAGGTTTATTCATTTGACCTGTCACAATCACCTAGCTCAGGAAGGTAACATTTTGGATCTGTCTGAAGTCAGATGAAGTGAGTCCTCTCTATGCAGGCTGGCTCTTTACCAGGGAAGTCTGAATGAGTAAAACCCCTTTGTCAGCTCTGAGCAGCCAGCACCAGCATGCTCCAGCACTTCAGCCAGGCTGCTGGTGCATTTTGGCTTGGGTGTGAAGCTCTTGCCTGCAGAAACGCAGAACTGAATCAGTGGTGGTGACCTGGGACACTGTGTCCAGCTCTAGTCTGGCAGCTCAGCTGTGAACTTTATTTGTCCTAAGAGGTGGAAGTCTGCTGGAGATCCACCTGACAGGGTTGTGCCAAGGAAGTCCGGAAGGAAACAAAGTAAGAATGGGTGATTCATCTGAGTCTATCTGGGCAGAGGAGCTCTTAGGTCAACAAGAGAAATTTCTTTCAACTCACTTCCTAAGCTGCCATTTTTTTAGTTAAAACCTCAGTGGCAGCAGTGGGGGAATTGTGTGGTATTTCTACCCCAAATATGATTCTGGGACTGGGCCTAGTATCATATAAAAAATTGCCCACTAGCAATGTCTCCAAAGCCATGACTGGATTCGTCCACCAAAATTCATCCCATTCTCTAACACTACAAGTCTAGGGAGAAAACTTGAAGAAAATAATTATTCTTTGTTTTCTCCTTTAGATATTGCCATGCCCAGTGACAACTGTGCCAAAGGAACACAGGACTCTTGCTCTAGCAAAACAAATGTGACAATCTACCACTGCAAAGACTGTGACAGCGACATATGCAAATTATCTGATTATGAAGGCTTTGAAAAAATTGTTGAAACACAAAATAATGTGTTTTCAAATGAAAAAATTCAGTTGGTGACCAGTAAAACACATATCAGTATATGCTTTCAGGAAGATCCTAAAGGACTTTATGCCATCGTGTGGGAGAAAGACAGTGGAACAGGAGACTCGTGTGGCATCCTGGATTCTGGAGGTACGTTCTACTGGGAGCCTGGCTACCAACTTATGGAATATATATTTCTGGTTATGAAACAGAACTTTTATATATTTGAGCAAACAGTGAGGTTAATGAGTAAAGTACTTGAGTTTCTTTTGTGAAAAAAGTCATTAAGTCACTCAAAAAACCAAATTAAATACTCTTATGTCAAACGATGCTTAAAACTACTCTAGCAGACATTCAGATAAATTCAAGTTACCCTGATTTATAAAGATACTTTTATTTTTGGGGGGCAAGAGCAATTCTTGTGGTTAAAATGTGTGCCAGTTTGCAATGTATGAATCCAATCTACTTCGGTCAGTACACACTGAAATCCAGGTCTAGCCTAAAGAGTCATTCTGTGTTGCTCTTCTGCACAATTCAGTGAACTATCAGGAGACATCCTTCCAGCTTTCTGCCAAATTCAGAGATAAAAATGCCTGTCAGTACATGTAGCAAGCGGCTTCAAGAGGGCAAAACTTCATGGTCGATCAGGTTGCAGGGGTGTAATTTAGTTGAACTCCAAGTCAGTGGCATTTCACCAGTTAACAGTCAGTTGAATATAAATTCATGATGATTGGTTGATTTGAACAGTTAGGGAATTAAATATGATTGTAGCGATCTAAATTTTTTTTTTTTTGTGATACATGTAGGTTACACTTTTTTAACCTAGTAACATCTTTAAACTTAGACTGAAAATCTTATGAATGATCCATATTTATAATAAAAACCCTTTTTATCTTTCAGTTTTCTCAGAAAATGTGAATGGTAGCTTCACTGGAATTTGCTGTGAAACAGAAACAAACCTCTCAGTGTCCAACCACCCCCTGAAGTGTCATATTAAAAGACCAGGTGAGAGAGACAGAAAATCAACAGCCGACATCACCACTGAGAGAATGCTAGGTAAATCTCTTCACATCTTTGTTTGCCCTTTGTTTTCAGAGTTTTTCCCAGACAATTTGAAGTGTGCAGAGTTTTACATTCATACCTTGGACCCACACGTGCTGTAGCCATCGAAACTCAGAGGCTTTCCCCTAGCCTGTGTAGGTGCCTAGTTCTAGAAATATTTATCCATAGGTAGAGGCTTCTGTAACCATAGCTATACAGCAGAAGATATCAGGATGTTGAGGGAAAGCTGCACCTGATGGACATGCAACAAGATTCCAAGAATTCTACTTACCAGTAAATGATAAATGAGACTTTACCTCTAGACTAAGAGGGCATTTGTCTCATGCCCTTATTTTTTCTTTCACTGTAGAAATCCCTGTCATCTTCCTTAGGTTATGGACAAACTGTCCTTGCAAGTAAACACTATCGTTTTCTGGGGAGGGTCTTTGGTGGGGGAATAACTCTTTGCTTTTTACTGTTTTGTTTGGGTGTTTTTTTTTTTGGTTTGGAGGTTTTCTTTGATAATTTCTGAAAATGTACTGGATGATACTTTTATTTCTCTTCCAGATTAGACAAGTATTAAAATAACCTTTCTAGGTATTTATATATTTAAATTCCTGTACATGGAGGACTTTAAGAAGCAATCAAAATGGATTTCCTTAGTGGCCTTTGAAGCCATTGTTGAGGATGTGTTACCTAGCTGAATGTCTTGTGCATTTCAGAAGCAAGGATGTAGTAAGGACACTCTCCAGACACTATCCAGCATGATGCTGCCCTGAAAAACACTCTTCCAGCTTTTATTTTTTATTTATTGTGTGTCTTGTTTTAGCAGAACTGGCTAAAAATATCAGAGTCACTAAAAGACTTCACAGATCTATTGAGCTTTTTCCACTTCAGGCTACAAGGTCTCGTATAACTTGGTTTTGGTATCTATTGTGGTGGGGAGTCAAGGATTAACTTCAAATATTGATAGAGTTACTTTTTGGTTGCAGATTTATCTTCATTAAGCTATTCTAAGCCAGAGGCTCTTTGTTCTCTCCTTCATCAGTTCCTTCTCTCATTACCAGCTTTTGTGGGGTACATGGCAGAAACACCAGCCCAAATTCTTCCAAGCTGGTGCTTATGAAACAGGCTTATTTCTTGGCATGTGTTTGAGTCACTTGGACTCTTTGTTTTCTTCTCCTCTGCAGGTGATCCTCAAACTTCATTTGGTGGCAAGAGCAGCATTGTCATCATCATCGTGGTAGTAGTTATCGGGGTTTGTGCAGCAGTCCTAGCACTAAGAATATGTCATGTTCGACAGAATCAAAACCATCAAAGCCCTGTCTGACAGAAGGTGATGTTACCTACAGGAAACATGACTTACAGCCTGCACTGGTGGTGGGAAAAGCAGAGGAGGTTTTCCTTCTGGATCTCATTTCAATAACATTGCTTATTTCCATAACAAAACAATAAATGATATTCCCTGTGAAGGGGGAGGCTGGACTAACACCTGCTATGAACTCAACCTTTGCGTTAGATGTCATAACACAGTCCCCAGTCAGCTGGTTTTATTATTAAAAAAAAACAATAATAAGCACAAAATAAATGTCCAGACACAGTCAAGAGATGGCATGGCTCAGCCTTATCTCAGTGGGATCCACTTCCTTGGAGTAATCTCAAGACTGCAATTGCTGTACAGCTTTCCCTGTGGAGACAGATCCCAGCCCAGGCAACTGCAGAACATCCAGACGTGGGCTGACAGGTCCTTCAGGTGAATGCTTCCTACTCCAGCTCCGCCCACTAAAGACCATATTTTCATTTAAGAGAGAATATTTTCCTAAATACATCTAAGGGGGGCGGGGAGTTTGTTTTACAAATTAATGTACATGGAACGGGCTGGGATAGGTGTGATGGAGCAAACAGCTCCCTATATGAGTGAAATCTTCTGAAAATATTTGCCTTCCTCTGTATTGCCCTCTGTTCTTCCCTCCTCCCTCACAATACAGAAACTGCAATATTCTTAAAGTAAGAGAATATTAAACCACCTCTTAGTGCAGAAATAATAGTGCTACAATGGTATAGAACTTGGGATGCAACCATGCTGTCATAGAATCATAGAATTAGCAGGGTTGGAAGGGACCTGAAAGATCATCTAGTTCCAACCCCTCTGCGATATGCAGGGACATCTCCCACTAGATCAGGTTGCTCAGAGCTCCATCCAGCCTGGCTTTAAAAACTTCCAGGGATGGGGCTTCCACCACATCCCTGGGCAACCTGTTCCAGGGTCTCACCACCCCCATGGTGAAGAACTTCTTCCTTATGTCTAATCTGTGTCTACCTGCTTCTAGTTTTGCTCCATTCCCCTTAGTCCTGTCACTGCCCAACATCCTAAAAAGTCCCTCACCAGCTTTCCTGTAGGCCCCCTTAAGATTCGGGAAGGCCACAATAAGGGCCCCTCAGAGCCTCCTCTTATCCAGACTGAACATCCCCAACTCTCTCAGTCTGACTTCAGAGATGTTCTGCCAATGACCAGGCCCAACAAAAATGATAGCACCAGCAGGAAGATGAACCAACACACAGACTGTTTTGTATACAAGAAGGACATTCCATGAATGACCGCCAGGGGTACAAACAAGTCAATCAGCCAGTACATAACCAACACCACCCCCAACGATCCCACAAAAGACATAACTCGGCCCACAACAGGTGGTACAAACAGAGACCCGAGGTTTCCCACAGTTGGCATGGGAAACAGCCAGACCAGCCAGTTAAATACATAAGAAAAAGGTGCCCACATGGC